TTACGGTGACGTAGAAGCACCCATGAGCATGTGTGAAATAATGCACTCAATAATCTAATGTCATCAAAATAGTTCTTGGCACGTTCGAGGATGAACGTATGTTTAAAAGGGGGAGAATGTAACGACCTGACTTGTCGTTTTAAGAATTAACGCCCCGGTCAGTGACTTAAGGTCTCGAGCAGCTTCATAATATGTATTATGATCCGCGGGTGTGGTCGAGTTTGATTTTCGAAAGATTCGGAATTAAATTAAAAGAACAATTCCTATTTAGAAGCTTAAATGAAAATAGTTGACCGGAGATTTAACTTATGTGTAAACGACCTCGGATTTCGAATTCTGATGATTCCAATAGCTCTGTATGGTGATTTTGGACGTAGGAGTGTATACGGAAAATTATTTGGAAGTCCGTAGTGAAATTTGGCTTGAAATGGCAAAAATTGAATTTTCAGGAAGTTTGACCGGGGAGTTGACTTTTTGATATCGGGGTCAGAATTCAGTTCCGAAAATTTTCATAGCTCTGTTATATCATTTATGACTTGTGTGCAAAATTTGAGGTCAATCAGACTTGATTTGATAGGTTTCAGCATCGAATGTAGAAGTTGGAAATTCTTAAGTTTCATTAAGCTTGAATTGGGGTATGATTTGTGATTTTAGTGTTATTTGATATGATTTGAGGTTTCGACTAAGTCTGTATGATGTTTTAAGACTTGTTGGTGTATTTGGTTGAGGTCCTGAGGGCCTCGGGTGAGTTTTGGATAGTTAACGGATCAATTTTTGGACTTGGTGTTTTGCTAAAATTTTCTAGTGCTCAGGTCTGGTTTTCTTCTACGCGATCAAGTGAGAAAGTCTGCGATCGCGTAGGCTTAAGTGGGAAGTGGAGATTTAACTCTATGCGATCGCGTGTAGGGAACCGTGATCGCGTAGCTTGAGAATATTGTGCATCGCGAACGCGTGGGCCAGGTCGCGTTCGCATAGAAGAATGAGGCAGAAGGCTTGGCCACGCGTTTGCTCTATGCGATCGCGTGTGGCTGTCCACGATCGCGTAGGGCTGAGGATCATGTGCTTCGCGATCACGTGAAGGACACCGCGATCGCATAGGGTCTTTTCTGGGAAGCTTGCAATTGCACTTCGCGATCGCGGGAGATTTTCAAGGAAAACAATGGGGTAAGTGTTCTTAACTCGATATTGGTCAAATTACCTGAATCCATGGTTGTTTTTAACATTTAATCGGTGAATTATGTTGGAAGATTTAAAAAACTCTCTTGATTTAAATTGAAGATTTGAGGGTTGAGTTGATATTGAAATTTGATAAAATTAGTGTGGTTGAACTCGTATCGGAATGAGTGTTCGGATTTCATGAAAACTATGTCGGATTCCGAGAGGTGAGCCCCGCGTTGACTTTTGTTGACTTTTTGGAATAAATTTTTAAGTCAACGTATTATTATCCGGAATTATTTTTGATGAATTTTAATGAAGTTATACAATTAATTTGGATAGATTTGAGCTGTCCGGAGGTCAATTCAAGCAAGAAGGCGATTTTTGGAATATCGACATAACTTTAAAAAGGTAAGTATCTTGCCTAACCTTGAGTGGGGGAAATTTCCCTTCGGCATTGAGTCTTATGTGCAATTTGTGTAATTGAAAACTATGTACGCGAGGTGACGAGTACGTACTTGGTTTATATGTGCAAATTACATTGGTTAAAATCCTTAGACACCCTTATGTATTAAATTGAAAATTATTGGCACTTATTAAATTCTTTAATTATCTTGCCTAAATCCTTGTTTTGTTGGATTTGTTTTTATATGATGATTTGGTGTGATTGCCATCTTGATTTTATGTGAATATTATTTTGTTGAATTGTTCACTCTTGGATATATTTGTTAAGATTTTGTGCAAATTATGGTCGAGCCATGGGCTCCTTATTGTGGAAAATAATATATTGTTGATTTTTGTGATTAGTTGTAATATTTGAGCACTTGATGTGCAATATGTGATATATTGTAATATTTGAGAACTTAAGGTACAATTTATGAAATGTGATATTGGCACGTTATATTGTGGGGAGGTTTATTCGGGTGTTTGCACGAGGTTTTTGCCGTGCTATTGTTACTATTGATTTATGCACATGCATTNCGAGACAAGGCGGACATTTACTTTATTATTGCACACGTGGCGAGACAAGGTGGGCTATGTCGGGAATTGAATTGTGGTGATTTGTGATAGCCTGGGGGAATTATTGTTTGTTGCATATTTACTTTGGGACTACGAAGCGGTATCTCGGGAGATCCCCTGTCTTGCATATTTACTTTTGGGACTATGAGACGGTACCTCGGGAGATCCCCTGTTGAGCATTTACTTTTGGGAATATGAGACAGTATTTCGGGAGTGGCCTTTGTTGATATCTCTCTATGGTTGCACTTGTCTTTGGTTATTTTGTATTTCTGTGATAGGTCAATCCTTGTGATCTGTCGTGATGTATTATTTGATTTTACTATGTGTTTGTATTCTTTGTTATATTGTGTTGGCTTGGACTTTTTAGTACGAGACTATGAAGATTTATATATTCCTGGTTTTTACCGATTTTTGATGACTGAGTTGTTTTAAATATGATCGCTAGCTAGCTGTACAGATCTTGTTGTGGAGACTCAAGGTAAACATGTTGTTGCGTTCGCAAGCTTCAGAGTCACCTTCTGATATTGTACTTGCACTGTTTTACCTCTATTTCGAAACAATTATATTTATAGGCTTTCTAGTAACTCAGTAGAGCTTATGACTTGTACTACCGATTTTGGGAATTGTAAATTTTATAGAGGTCTATTTCATAAATTGTTAGATGTTATTTAATTATTGTTGTTATTTAGTAAGTGTTAGGCTTACCTAGTCCCTAATACTAGGTGTCATCACGATACTCAACGGAAGAAAAATTGGGTCGTGAGAATATGATTCATTTACCTTAATTTTATATAAATTTTGTTAATAGGTATAAAGAAAAATGATGAGGTACAATTGGATTTTTTTTTTTTTTTTAGCTTGA